TTATGACATCTGAAGTTCATGACTGGAATATTTGCAGGGGATTGCAGGGGACTGTTGCCACCGCAAGCAGCTGCGTTTCCTCCCAGTTGAAGGACAAGTGAGGCTCAACATCGGTGACTTTTCGGCCAAACCTTCAGACCTGGAACGAAAAGATCGAAAAGAAACCACATGGAACATAGGGTGTCAAGGACCTCCCTGTCACAAGACCTTCTTTCCTGAACCCCTCCCAAACCCCACCCAAATGACATAAACTGACATATCTGGCTGGAGCATGTTGTCTGCAAAATGGAATGGGTCAGCAATCTGAGAACAACTGGTCAACCCGTGCTGGATCTCCGGTCCGCCCTCGGCCCACAGTTCATGCTGCCTTCAAGAAGTTCAATACTTCTGCCTCAAACAAAAGAAAGGCAAATGACTGGGATTGTGAACGGGGGGCAAACAGAACCATGAGAACTGAACATTGGTGATGATTCATCTCAAATCATGGTGATTTGATCATGCAGTCTCACTGGAAAGCAAAGTGGCTTAGACGCCTGGTTCGTGAGAAGAAACCATCCTTCTGCCCAAGGCCTTGCAGCAATTACAGGACTCTTTGCTCCCAGGATGGCTTCATCATTCATGAGGTAGGTGAACTAAAGCCTGAACCGCAGGGAGGGCTCTCAAGTTCAGGCATTCAGGCGACAACATTTCAGGAGTGAACCTACTTTCTCGCCGTTTCGCCAGGTGCTTGTGAACTCCCCTGAGATCCGCTACATGGCCATAGCCCAGGTAATCGCGGAGGAAAGGCCTCAAGGTGAGGTGAGGTGAAACACTCTCCATGTGCTTGAAAAGAACATGGTCGAGTCTTGGTGTCTTTCCAACAGAACATTCAACAACAGTTCTTTTTCTCAGGATCTTAGTAGACCAGACTACATGAACTTTCCCACTATATCATGGAATCATGGGCTCTTCAAACCCACACTGCTGAGGAAAACCTTATTTGTATAGAAGCAACAAACATGATCAACCTTAGCATCTGGACGACGATGGACCAACCAAGTTGGATGGTGGTCATGGAAATGGTCACAGCAGAAGGAGACAACCTTCCATCCCTCCAGTGATAAAGATGTTGAGTTTCTCGGCTGCTGCAGTCAAGTACGCTTACCACTACCAATGCGGCCTCCCACGGCTGTGGCGAGGCTACGCAAACTGGGACCCAAGGACGATGCCAGCATAGGCATAGACTACCATTTTGTTGAAACTATTGCATTGAGTGTTTTGTTATTGCAATATGTCACATTATGTCACATGGTTTCAGTGTGTTTTCTTTAAAGTGCAGCCATGGTCTTTTGTGCAACTCCACGGTCTACGCTTGATGAACAAATCCTGCCCCACCCCAAATGGATCAAAAAGGATGAGTTCTATCTATCCAGAAGAGGGCATCACAGTAGACTAGTGACTAGTAGGTTGCCACTCCACCTTATTTTGCGATGACCCATCAACTCATTGAGAATATTTTCTTGGCTTCTCTGTAACTCACTTGCAACATGTCCCAAGTTCCAAGAGTCACACAAAAAAAGCAAGTATACATCAAAACTCCGCTCCAGTTTTTCTTGGATCTTCCCGGTTTTTGGGATGATTCGTTGGGGAGGGATCAGCGTTTTGCGTCCTTTTCACTCCACGTTCTTCACTCCCTGAGATCGCCGCAGCAGGTCCTCACGGCCCAGCAGGCCATCCCCATCGGCATCGATCTGCAAGCGACCACAGATCACGTGTTTTGATCCTTATGGGTGCGTATGAGAAGATGGAGACCTGAAGGCTAGATCGTGCCAGTGGATGTCAATCTCTGTGTTTTTTGTGTGTCAGGGTCGACCTGGTGTTGTCCTTTTTGTCTCTTTTCAATACTTAAAGCCATTACTGTAGGTGTTTCTTTACAAAGGGCGAATCTTGGAAAGACCCTTCAGCTTGCCAACGCCTCCCTATCCACTTTGTTGATATGAGTCCGAACAGACAAAACAACAGCGGTACTTAGTACTTATACATTGACTGCTCAGATCTTTTCAGTATATTCCATTATATTCATGTTCGAGATCGACTAGGGTCTCGATGGGTCTTGGGGTTTTGACTCAGATGGTACTGTACCTTGACGGGCAATATACAATAACGACTACAGTGACGATAAATGCTTTGAAACACGAGCATCAGCTAGCCCGAAACAGGTTGATTGAGGGTTCTTTAAACTTTAAACCGCAACTATGGTTGAACTACCAGCACGATCTTGATGTTTTAAGCCTGTAACGGGCTCCTAGAGAAGTGTGGGAATGTAGGTATGAAGTTCTGCACATTTCTGAAGTCTTTTCTTCAAAGGTCCAGGTATAATTCCTGAAAGGACTTGGGATGTGCCCTTTTGCAGGTATGTTCAGCAGCCCCGAATCAAGACGGAGCATCTGACCAATCTGTACCAGCGGAGACCACCCATGCAAGCGTCCTTGCTCCTAGTAGTATGGCCAGGAGCCCCTAGTAGCGTAATTGCTCCTAGCAGCGATGCCAGGAGCCCCTAGTAGCCACCCATGCACATCGCCCGAGACGCATCAGGAACTTGCTGCCTCGTCGAATAGCTTGCTGGCATCCTTCAAGCCTCACAATCGTGTCGCAAGAGACTCAGGATGGTTTAGGACTCCATGGATTTCATTTGGGGTGAGCCCACTGGACCAGTTCTTCCACATTCTTGCGGCATGTGCTGGGCGGCCGGATGTGCCTCCTTCGAGTGCGGAAATAGCTTTAACCCATCGAAACCAAAACCTGTCCAGTCCAGATTAACATGACCGTGGTGATCGGACATGACCGTGGCCAGCCATTCCCCCAACGTCCAAGCTCGTCGGTCCCTCACGGGGCACCCGCCACCGGAGATCGTTCCCATCTCGCGTGATCTGTGTCCGCCCAGAACGTTACCTTTGGCTCTGACGGTGTAGAACCGCGTCTGCGGTGTAGAACCGCAGTTTCTGAGAGTTGCTGCAGAACATGGTGAGTTTCTAGCTGACGGAAAAAAACAAACAAACACATAGTTATCCGCTGAAGACAGGGCTCCTGGGCGACTTGAGTAGACACCATGACGACGTTGTAACAGCTGCCTTTCTCACACTTCTCTCAGCTTGATTCGTGTGCAACAGCTAATTTCATGCACTTGCTATTGTGGCTCATGTACACCGTGGAGATTGATCTTGCCCAAAAGCTGCCCAGGATGATACATAAAAACATTACAAACCATGTTACCTAGAGCCCCAAAGCCCTGATAGATTAAATCCATTTAAGTGCCATATATTCTATTCATTTTCGGTGGTCAAGCAGGGTGTCCTGGTGCCATGACCCACAGCTACCCCCAGGCGATCCAGATTGGACACCCCACGGAAGAAGGGCGACTTCCCGACCAGCTTCGAGGGCCTTGGATGAAACGTATGTCATGTGAGTCATATGTGTCAAAACCTGGACCATACATACAGTACAGACAATACGTACGGCTACACCCAAGAGAACTTATCAATCTCCTACTGCACATCCAACTTTTACAATGGAGTCCTGGAGTATGCACACCCGACAAAGAGAGTTTCTGCGCCACTGGACTTAGACTGGCACAAAACAAATAGTCTGCAAGTGGCTATGAGTGCAATCCTGCTGCTAAAGTGTTTAACGACTTCGACTTCAACAACTGCTTAAATGCAACGAACAATTTACAGGCTTTGTTTCAAGTGAGATTCGTTGCTCAGCTGCAGCCTCCCACATGTACCCCTTCAAAACTCTTGGCTTGAATTCCGAAGACCATGACAAGCTCCTCACACAAAAAAGAACACAACTAATTAATTGGCTAGCGATTTTGTCCGTGACGTCTGAGAATCTGGAGGTACAGAAATAGGACAATGCATCGATTGCACATGAAAACCGTGGTCAATGAAAATCAATGAATGGTTCTGGGCGACTTTACCAAAGTGAAGGCGTACGAGGTAAGCACAGCGGGATATACAAACGTGGAACGTCCGTATTCTTGAGAGCACACTAATCGTTATGGACCACGTTCCAGCACCTACACTTCTTTACAGTCCATTCCCTTATCTGCTGATCAATTCTGCAAGTAACTGAAAGGACACGCATACTGCGCATCAACTTGCTGACAAGACCAAACATACTATTTATACCTCCCTCAAGAGCACTTGCCAAATTTGTTCTAATGTCACAGGGGTTGGCTCAACTGTCCGGCAACTCCTTCGTTGGAAAAGTTGAGGGCCCGCAGCACAAACCAGGTCATCGTACAGCAAAAAGAGTCCCCCACAGGTTGCCACCCAAGAATAAATTTGCAACTTTTGGATGAAGTATACTTTGAATCACATTTCCCAAGTCTCCTTAGTCTCCAAGGTGACGGAACTATATAGTCATAGCCAGTCATAGCTGGACAGGGTCCCTCTCTACCAAGCTGCACCCCGCAGGCTGGAATGTGGGGTCTAAAACACTACAAGAAACGAACAAACGGATCTATCACTAATCACTACCCGACCCAGTCAAGACTGTCAAGACTGTTGAAAAGACTAAGGAAAAAGGAATCCTCCACTCCACTGTCCACAATTGAGACAGGGAACACCCCAATATCCACAGGCTTTCGTTCTTCCTGGCTCTTGGTGATAAAACCCGACGGTTGCATAATATCTACACTCCAACCAAACAAACAATACCACCGAAACGGAAACTTCCTGCCAAACTCGCCCAAAACACTGTTGAGGCTTGGAGACTTGGACCGCCTGGCCGCAACGTCGGAGTCGGGCACCAAATGCGGAGAGCAAGCAGGGAAGGAGTGGTACCAAATCAACTGTAGTAACCCTAGGGCACCAGTCGTACCTCCTCAAAAGGTATCTCGACCCTCTGAACCCACCCCAAACACCTTCTGAGAAGGTACTTGGAGCCCTAGGGTAGGGGTGATGTCAACTTGTCAAGCCTTTTTTGTTGGCTTCCTGGGAGCGAGCTCAAGGGCTCATCATGCATGCGCACACCCGAACTCTTCGCACGATGCGCCGAATGACGCAAACTCCTCTGATCGGCCTCTTAGATCCACGGCATATAAGCCCGCAAGAAAATGCATGATGTAGCTTGAAATCTGCTATCTTGGCACATGTGCGGTGCAGCTCCCATGTCTTTTTTCTCCAGCCATGTCTCGATCGCGTGGTTCACTAGCTCCGCTTTCTGCACCTGGCAGAATCCCAAAACTCTCCGGCGGGTGAGCACTCGACCGCATCTTCACATCAGAAGTGAGAAAAGGATAGAAAAGGCATTTCCTCTGATTTACCAGCTCAAAGCAAAATCCAAGGGTTCCAGCACATGTCGAGCAATTCCCTAGAGGCATTTGAGAGGGGAAGCGGGACACACTCGGTTGCCCTTTTGTAGTGCAAAAACTGGTTGCTTCCGGACCTCCGGGCGCTTTGTTTTCTCCAGCACAAAGCAAGGAGTCTTGCAGTTTTCCTCGAACATTACTACATGAAGTCCCCCCTATGTCCCCCAAAACTAGGTGTGTGTGTATATACATATATAAATATATATATATCATATCATATTATATTATATTATATTATAACTATATTGTTATATTATATTGTATTATTATTATACATTACTATACTATATTTATTATATAGTATGTAATATAGTATGTATGTATGCTTGAATGATGTTCTTGGCTAATCATGGCCAATGCCACAATAGCGGTCTCAAGGCCTTTTCGCAGCATCCGACAGCATCCGAACATCTTTGGACGACCTGTGACGGGCCGTCAGACCAGTAACCCTCAACCGCAGCTAGTACGTTGTACCAGGTCTGGACCTCAGAAGTGTATCTCAACTCCTGGAGTACCCAACTCCCCAGATTCGACCCCATCCGATCTCGGAGTCTCGGAGTCTCGGAGTCTCGTGCCTGTAACCAATGTCCTGGGCCAGGGAACATCCATGGAGGATTCGGATTTCACGTGGAGGCCTGATGAGTCCAATTGTTCCCTCTAAATGGCCATACGATCCCCTCACATATGCACGAGCACTTGTTTTCAACCTCAGTGGCACGATCCTGGAACCCACGTTGGTCAATCACCCAGTATCTCAAAGTACTTGGTCTTGGAATGTCCCAGATTTTAGCATTTACCTAGTTTCTTGATCATCTTGATCTTTCTTGCATGATAGATAAGAAAGAACCATAGATTGATCGATCAATCAATTGGTACATCCTTTGTATAGCACCTCTGACCCATCACAAACACACGGCTGCAGCAACCGCCCTATAGGTGCAAGCAAACTGAAACTGGTCAGGAAAAATCGTACTCGTACCCGTTCTCTGGTGATCTCATCGCTTACTCCGCTTCTTGCCCTCCATGCACTACATTGTGCAAACATGTAAGCATAAGCATGCATAACTGCTGCGGAACATAATAAACGCGTGGATCTTCGGGATTCACCTTAAGCAGCTGGAAAGCCTTCCCCTTCACTCGATTGACATCTCTCCTGCGTTCACAGGGATCACCTCGCAGTCACTGCGCGACCTCAAGTGCCGCTCCCAGGCTGCACTGTGAAACCTCGGGTGGACCAAGCACGTGGATCCTAGCAAATCCCTCTGAGATCCAAATTATATATATAATTCTATAGATCTTATCTTGCTTTATATAAGGATGTTGTTTAGGTCTATAATGGTCTATACTATATACGATCTTTGGCAACACTGGTTGCAGGTTGCGGTGGCAGAATCTACTTGCGTGGTCATGTGTTCAACAACAATTTGGTTTGTGCATGCTCATGCACTCTATTTTTCTTCCTTGGTATCCTTTCTGTCTGACTATATGTATAATACTTTATAATATTGTATAATAATGTATTTGTTGTGAACCGACGACCTTCGGCCGGCAAATTCCATGGCAGGTGCCTCGAAGTGGCTCCTTCGGATGGGGCATTTGCGTGTCACCGTGTCACATTTGTCAGTTCGATCTTTGGTCTGAAAAATGGAAGTAAACCCACGGCGACTGGAAAAATGCACAGCCAAGTAATTGTTCAACTTAGCCACTCACCAAAGTCAACACCACTGGACTGTTGACGACTGCTGGTGGGGAACTCTTGCATTGAAAGTATCTGGACATTTGCAGCAGTTCTGGTGCCTCGTCCCTCCAAATATCCAATTCAGTTTTCTTTCTCTAGACTGATTTCATTTCTACCCACCATATGAGGAGGTTTTTTACAATCCACGTCTTTGGAGGTTGTAAGAATCAAGAGTTGAAGCTTTATTTTGTATATTTATATCCATGGTTTGGGGCACTGAAGGCTGATTTGCCAAAGTCATTAGGAAGTGTAACCTTTGTGAAACCATGTGTGAGGTCGAGAGACTGGATACTGATGGAGCCCTGTAGGTGTTGAGGTCCATCGAGTTTGAACATGTAAAAACATATGCAACACTCAAACAAACAGGATCAAGGGTTATTCTCATTTTGAAAGCTGACTGCAGTCGACTGGGGTATCTTCAGCATTCAGCAAGGTCATAAGGTACAACACACACCTTAAACTGTTGCCTACTATTCGTTGATCAGGTTGATGGTCAATCTTGCAATAGGGTTCAACAACCTAAATGACATCATATCTGATCACATAGTCAGCTGAGGGACATGTAGGGCTTGCGCTTCCCATACCTCAGAACGCGGACTATCCTGTGATGAAATCTGTTGCATCTGCACTCAAGAAACCACATCACCTTCTACTACTGATCACTATACATTTGTTTATGACATTTTGTAACAACATGTGACAACAGAACTGCACATCGATGGAATCTTTGGCCGACATGTCAGCGGAATTCCTGAACTTTGCTTGAAACGTCATGCACTCTGACATCAAGGAATATGCACTGGTCCACAATGGAAGGAAGGCGTTTTATTCGAAACAATACACAACACAGCTTTCTGAAACGAGTGGAGTGATGTTCTCGAACCACCCAGACTGCCCATACACCGCAACCAGAACCCTGCGACTTGGAGCTCAGGAGGATATACACATACCAGCAGCTCCAAAGGGGTGCCTGTTGAGGGCCTGTTGAGGATAGGGGTGCCCACAATCCACTCACTGGATGAGACTAAACACCACCGAACATGTAACTTCTAGAAATAAGTCTAAGTAGTGTGAGATGTTGTGGCCCGCGCAAGTCGTAAGCCTGTCAGCCTGTCTCACATCTGCCTCATAGACCCTCCCCCAACCAGTCTCCCGCTAGGTTCCATGCATTCCGTTGGAACGTTCCATGGTCTAGTCCTGCTTGTAAAAGAACAAAAGTATTTCCTGTGGCCCAGACCATGACTTCCACGACTCCATGCTAGTCTGGGTTGCTTAGATATCGTGCAGTATAGTATGTGTTGGGCACACCTACTGTCACAATATCCTGGTGTTCCAGCAGATTCACATCCCAGGCACATGAAGAGGCACGGGCAGGATGGCAACACTGCACCTGGTCCACCGGATGCGGGAACTGGCTATGAAGACAAATCTATTGCACCCTTGGTTTCAATCTGGCATGATCAGGGGACCACACAGGCTAATCTCATAGATCGGTGGCTATCTGTTACTACTATCTTTCGTTACTCCAAAGAACCTTGCTGTTTGCGAGACGCTTCCAGGGAAATGAATCACTGCAAAGGTGAGGTCAGGAAATGCAGGCCAAATGCACCGTCTGCTCCAACCTCTGTGATTTTTTTAGACAATGATTCATCGGAATCATGTTTAAGTTTTGTGTTGACGTACTCTACTCATCCCTGCTCCAACTGCTTGCCCTTGCCCTGCTTCTTATTTCTCTTGATACTTCCTGTTCTTCCCATGAAACAAATGTCCGATCGCAGGCCAGGTCACCAGCGGTCAGCTTCGGCTCGCGAAAACCCAGTCCAGTCAAAAAGTGAACGTATGGATAAGAAGCCTCAGTGTCACACGCCCGTGTACCCTCAGGTGTTGTCTATGGTGGTATCATCAGGGATTGCAATTGTATCATCTTCTTGATTGCATCTTGGCATTCGGCCCGCGAGTGGCAGCCGCAAACGAACGAAGGAGACCGCAACCACACATCTAATGCAGAGCCAGGAACACACTTTACCACAACGGAAAGGGATGGATGGAATCTGGAGTGAAACAGTTTAAGTATCTGAGCTCCAGATTCCAGCCAGCCAATTTCCGTCAAGAGGCCCGAATGCAATCTTGCACCCGATCAGGCCGAAGGCTGTGCTGGCCGGCTGCTACAGTCTTGGGGGTTCTCCGATCATCCTTTTCAAGGAAGAACCAGCCGAACACAGCAGCCCAGGTACATCGGCGGTGATCCGCTTGCTGCCATAGCCAATGAACTTGGTGAAGGCACCTCGTCCCAGAACGGCGATCCAGCCGATCCGAGCATCAAAGCTGAGGCTGAGGAAGCCCCGGATCGGGCGGGCCGGAGCATCTTTGCTTTGATTTCTCCAGTCCCCGTCAATGGGGAGCTTGGATTGTGCACTCATTTTATCTCATTTTCAGTACTATCGACTATAGACCAAATCCGAGAAACTCCCAAAACGTACACCAAATCTCTTCAACCATCGCCGCAGCCGCTCTCTTTTCAGATGTCTCTCACCTTCGCCACGGCACGGATCATCCAGTCCGCCACAGCTTGACCCCAGCGTCGAAATGGAGACCCCAGGCGTGCCTGGAGAGGACATGGTCGAGAAGAGTCTGAACTGGAGTAGTTGAAGCACCGGTACTTTAAGAACAATGCCAGGTTACAAAAAGGACTTGGATAATGTTATAGACAGTATACGAAATTGTATTACAACATTATACAAATGCAATCAACTATAGACCTATTTTGAGGTGATTGTCCAGGATTCCAGCATCCATTTAGTCATATTAATATTTCATACTATTTCATATGATTTAATATTCTTGCCATGGTTCCAATCCAACAACCTCCATCGTTCAATCTTCTGAATCCCTGACCAAGTGTTTTCGTTCTAGCAAGTCCCCCAAATGACCATGTACAAGCGACGAAGGCAGTTTTGGGCCAGGCTACAGGCGACTCGACTCCCAAAACAAGCGCCGTTCCTCCCATCAGGATTCTATCATTATCCCTCTACCAGGTGTTGGTGAGCTTTCTGGACATACCCAAGTCCATGGCCACCAAATTAACTACACCCATCCCCCAAAAAACAAACAACCTGTAAGAAGTCCAACTAATTCCAGTCCAACTCGCTCAAACACGCGACCGCCCCCGTCCGAGCCACGGAGACGCGCAGAAGGAAATAGGCCGTCAAGGGCCAAAACTGATAGGTCAGCAAGGCCACCGACACCTTCTCCTCGGGACGGGTCCCTCCGCCCGCCCGCCCGCCCGCTCTCGTCACTTTCTCGGTCACTTTCCAAAGCAACAAATGCTTGCGATGCACGTCCAGGAAAAGCACCGCACGTGGTCCAACCACAGTCCTATCCCCTCACAAACACAAACACTCTGACAATTGTATTCAGTTACACTCAGTTCCCAGGTCGAAAATGGTGAGGGAACAGCATGGCGAGAAAGTCAGTTCACTTGAAGGTTGAACAAGTTGTTTTT